AGAGAAAAGGGAGAGGTTGCTCGATTATCACTAAGTGGAAAAGACGAACGCGCATGCTTTTCACGATAACAAGCATCGCATGGATTCTCATGATCCTTATTAACAAGAGTAGAGGAAACTAAATGTAAAATCTTGTGGGAGGGATGACCTAAACGCCGGTGCCACATCTCGGGTGTTACTCGAATCGAACCTGGAGAGTTGGTCACAGTGGCTGCGGCAAACACGTCACTCGGCTCGATGCGATAGACCCTCCCTTGTAGCTTACCCGCTCCAATCAACGTCTTCGAGGTGAGGTCCTGAAAAAAACATTGAGACGAACGAAAAGTCACGTAACAGTTTAAATCCATCACAATCTTTCCAATAGAGATCAAGTTGCAAGTGAAGCCGGGTATGTATAAAACGTTATGTAATTTAAAAATTGGGCTAAATGAAACGGTTCCACGAAAGGTTGCATGAGAATTTGTTCCATTTGCTGTCGTGATGGGACATGGTCCTCGGATGGGCGTGCAATTTGTTAGGAGTTCCAAGTGCCCAGTCATGTGCTCCGAAGCTCCCGAATCAAGAATCCATGATCGAGAAAAAGCCGTGATATTACCTTCGAGCGGCTGTGTGTCTGAAGGTTGGGAAGACGCCATTTTGACTGAGCCCAGAAGGTTGATAAGTTGTCGGTACTCCATGTCGGTGAGAGTGTGAAGACCGGCCGTGCTTCCACCTGCTGCAGCACCGTTGGTCTGGGTGGAATGGGCTGCACCGGGGCTGCGAGGAGCTGTGGGTTTGTTGCTGCCGCCGCCGTTTGGGCCGCCGGGCCGTTGTCCACGGCGATTGTTGTTTCTTCGGCCGGAGTCATCTTGTTGCGCTCTCAATTTTTCGGGTATCCAATCAGCTCATAGCAACGGGATTTCGAGTGCCCCGTTTTTCCACAATGATCACAGATGTAGCGAGGCACACTTCCTTTTCCTCCAGCAGCAAGCGCGATGGCATGGTCCTTGGGCGTCTCCTGGTCTCGTAGGACAGATCGTTGGCGTTCTTCTTGAATCATAAGAGAATATGTCTTGTTGATGGAGGGAAGTTGCTCCATACTGAGAATGTGAGAACGAATCGCACCATAGGACTCGGTATTAAGTCCCATAAGGAATTGGTGCAGCATCTCTATTTCTCGTTCGGCTGCGAGCCATTTTGCTACGTCACAAGTGCACCCGGCACACGTGCAAGTGACTGTGTCAGTGTAGTCGGCAAGCTCGTCCTAAAGGCCCTTCAATTTTGTGAAATATTCGGTCACACTTTGACCGTCTTGACGGAGCAAGTTAATTTCCACCTTCAATTGGTGGATGCGAGGAACATTACCTTGCGAGAACCGCTCCTTTAACTCATGCCACATGGCCCGAGCATCAGCCGCATGGACAACGCTGTTTTGTAGTGATTTGTCCAGAGAATTGAGCATCCATGAAGCAACTAAGCTATTGCCCTTATATCCACCAATGGTAGTCGGGATGTTGGTTGTCCGATTTCTGGACCGACCCATCTACGAATCCCGCCTTGTTCTTCGCATCCAGTGCACGTCTCACGGCTTTGGCCCATGTCGAGTAATTCTTACCGGTGAGAATTATTTGCGTTAACGGAGTTCCCTTGCTATCGGACGGGTACATGTATAAAGGAGAGCCGATTGCCGGCATCTTCGATTTCTCGGCCATGGCAGTGGACAAGAAAAAAAATTATATCGGTTGTAGAGGTTTTCTCTCTGATACCATAAGGAAGATAATGGTTTAATTACCTTGAAATAAAACTGAAGATGTACAAGAGATATAAATACAAAGAATAATCTTTCTTATTGGCCAAGAAAAGATCCCTACTGATCTAAACTACCTAAAATACAAGATACAGCAGATACCAAACTATATTTACAACTAAAAGTGAGATATTATCCCGAATAATAACTACAAATGTAGAGAGAACCAAAAAAGAGTAAATAACGCAAAAAATCTTAGAAAACCAAAGCACAAAACTAAAAGAGTAAAAAATAATAATTAATCGTGTTGAAAACTATTAGAAACTTCAAAATAACCTCTTCTCCAGAACAAAAAACAAATAAACAAAATAATTAATATAAAGGATCAAAGAAATACTCTTTTTTAAGGCGAAATATTTACGGTCGAGCAAACCACCGTAAGTGTACAACAACATAAATGAGTGCAAGGCAGGTAAAAACAAAATTGAACAAGCAAATACTTCCGTTAATTTGGCGGATGAGGTCTAAGTATTCATAGTATTAGGTATAAACCATCTTTACAATCGCTTTTCTTTTTAACAAAATAATGAGAACTGAAGTACCCTAATGGATTGGATAGTATTCAAGGGCTTAGCTTTCTCCTCAATTAGTTCAGTTGAGCCATGAGTTTCTCCTTGGCCTCGCAGGTGTCCTATACGGGTCTTCGGCGGAGTCTGGCGAACGTACTTGCTCCTTCTTCAACTACATCTCCTACATATAATGCCACTATATAAAAAACAAATAAATTAAACATTGGTCCTCGCGCTTTTACTTTAAGGTGGTTGTAAAATTAACCAGAACCTTGTAGGCTTCTCGTCGCTACTTTGATTACTACCCCGTTCCTGCCTTCTTGATGATGCATGAATAGCAAAGCAACTTAGAAATCACATCATAGAAACTTCGAAAGCGAAAAAAAAAAATGACATAAGAATGCAGGATCCACAATTAACTGTATGGGAAAAGCAAAAAAAAAAAAAATCATTATATGATCCACAAGGGCTTTAGTGCATTATCACAAGGAACAAGTTGTCTCATTTTTTGTTTAATAATTTTAAGGTATCTCTGTCTACTCATTGGAAATCTCAAATTGGCTCAAGAACTTCAAACAAAAAAAAAAAATCATTATATGATTCTAATATATATTGACCCTAAATTTAGCTTATTGGAACACTCAAATTGGCCCAGAACCTAAAAAAAATCATTTTAATCCCAAATTTTCCTTATAATTATTAGCATACCAGCAAAGTATACCATCAGATGCTCTTATGTCACATCTATTTTCAATTCTTGGATTTGCATTTCTTTCCATGTCTACTGGTTTGTCTTTGTATGATCTGAATGTGCCCAATTTGTATTTGTGACATAATGCATTAACATTGTATATTCTATGTCTTTCAGTTATAAGCGATTGTGATCATGATTCTTTGTGCAATTTTGAAATTGTCATTTTTTCAAGTTTACTAGATACAAAAATAAAATAGGAAGCCAGACGTTTACAAGAAATGAACGGGACTTATAACATGTACATGTGAAAAACTGCACATGCTAACAAAAGCCAATACTTATTATTTTTTTAATTTATTAGTGTTCGTTAGGGTTTAATACTATTGCTTTCCCATGGTAGGCTTTTAGTTTGTTTTCTTTGAAAAAAGCTTTTGCGTTGTAACCAAACCAAATGCATGTTAATATCTATTAAGGAAATATCAATTGTTCTTATGAAACCATTTTTGAGGTTTCTCCATGTTGGCTCATCGTGATAGACGCTTGAGACGTGCCAAGCCCAAGCCCAAACCCAAACCCAAACCCATCTGATGAAGAATGGTAGTATGACGCATAGATGATCAATGGCCGCAATCTTCCAAGTAAGTAGCTCATCAGGTTGAAGCTGAGTATCTTTTTTGTGTTAAAATTTTAAAACATCAAAAAATAAATGAGACTCTTGTCATTGTTTTTTGTGTAAGTTATTGTGCTCATCATGCATCTATTGTATGTATTGATTTAAGATACTCCATTCGAGAAGATGTCCAAAAGCATCAATGAGCTCCGAGTACAAGATACCATAAAAGGCTATGTTTGGTAAAAATAGCTGATAGCTGATAAGTTAGATTATAACTTATAGTTTATGACTTATAGCGGAAAAACTAGTTTATATGATAAAAGTATTTGGTGAAATTAGCTAATAGGCTAGCTGAAATAAAAATTTCAACTACCCTATTTGAAAAGCTACCTATAGGTTTATGAGATAAGCTCGAGCTTTTAAAAAATGTTCGTCGTACCGTCACTTATTTGAATACAGAAAGTTTATAAGTTAACCAAATAAGCTATAAACTAACTTATTTGACTACCAAACATAGTCAAACATCCCTGAGCTCTTGGTACAAGATAAGATGTTCAAAAACATCTTTAAGTGTACAAAGTTTTAAGATGGTTAGTTTATATGGGAGTCACCACATGTCCCTTCTTTGGTCCACGACAATCATTTCACATGTATTTATACATATGTACTATTTTAACATTATTTTGTTCTTTTGGGTAAATTTTCAAACTTGTTGTCTTGGTTATCTGTCTCTAATGTCTTTGCCAGAACTTCTTGAACATGAGATTTCTTGTTCTAATTTTGTTAATTATCTTTTTTGTCAAGATTGTTTTTTATTTTTTTGGGTAATGTTGCAAGTGTTTAAGGTATTGTTATGAAACAACTTTTTATGTTAAAGTATTTAGTCTTATACCGGTGGAATCAACTTTATTCTTTCTTGACTTTTCTTTTTGGTTGTAGGTATGTCTTTATTATACATGCAAAGCTATTTGGCTTACGATCCTCCCGTTGTATCTTAGCAAATAATGCATTCGTCGTTAGCTTATAGCTCATTAAATACCTCATTGTTGTTGTTACAGTTGAAGTCACATGAATATTATAGTCTAAAATATTGGAATGAGGTTTATGAGAGTCCTGAGTCACTAAGAGAAGTCATCAATAACCATTCATTTAGTAGTTGATTGTTGGGACGGGTTATCCCGGAGGGATTGACTATTGGCTCTCAATAATTGGGGGGACTAAACTGGGACCTCAATACTGAGGTCCTCAATTGGGGACCGAATTGATGACATGTTTTGTAATCATGTTGCGACCCCAATTATTGAGATAAAGCCAATAGTCAACTCCTCTCAGACAACCCGTCTCAACAACAACTACTAAATGATTATTGATGACATTTTTTAGTGATATCATAAACATCAGTCGCATGGTTTAGACTAGAATATGTGTCGTCTATCTCAAGCAACAAAAGTCAACTGCAACATGACCTTAACTGCAATAACAATGCGCTATTTAATGAGATATTTGCTACAAATACAACAGAAAGTTCGTACACCAAATAACTATATATGGTATAATGAAGACACGCCTACAACCGTAAAGAAAATTAAGTTAATTAAACAGAAGTAAAGTTGATTCCACCGGTGGAAAGACAAAAAACTTTGACTTAACAAGTGGTTTCATAACAATACCTTAAGCACTTCAGTATTTAAAAAAAAAAAAAAAAATCTTGACTAGAAGGAAAATTAACAAAATGAGAACAAGAAATCTCACGTGTAAGAAGTTTTGGCTATTCGACACATTAGAGACAGATAACAAAGACAATAAGTTGAAAATTATAATAAAAAAAGAAAAGATATTGTTAGAATAGTACATTGTTATATATGTGAAATGATTGTCGTGGACCAATGAAAGACAAATGGCGTGACTCCCATAAACCATCTTAAAACTTTGTGTATTTGAAGAGTCCTTGCACCATCAATGACATCTTGTATCGAGAGCTCAGAGCTCAGAGATGTTTCTTGACATTTTCAAGGTCCGAATGCGGTATCTTAACTCAATACATATAGTGGATGCATGATGAGCACAATAACCTACACAAAAAGTAAGGACAAGAGCCTAATATATATTTTGAACAATGGTTTTAAAATTTTAACACAAAAAAAGCTACTCACCGTTTGCCTCAGTATTGGTTGGCCATTGATCGTCTATGTGTCATACAACCATTCTTCAACAGTTGGAATTGTGGAATTGTCTTAGGGCACGTTTCAAGCGTCATGATAAGCAGTAACAACATGGAGAAACCTCAAAAATGGTTTCATAATTACCATTGATATTCCCTAAAGAGATATTAACATGCATTTGGTTTGGTTACAACGCATAAGCTTTTTCCAAAGAAAACAAGCTAAAAGCCTACCATGGGAAAGCATTAGTATTAAACCCTAACAAACACTAATAAATTAAAAAATATAGTAAGTATGGTCTTTTGTTAGCATGTGTAGTTTTTCACATGTACATGTTGCAAGTCCCGTTCATTTCTTGTAAACGCGTGGCTTCATATTTAGTTTTTGCATCTAGTAAACTTGACAAATTGGTTAAAGTTTTTATAGGAGTGTATGAATTCTCGAGCATAACATGATTGAAAGTTGGTTTTCTTAAAGAAAGAGCGGTCTATAAAGCCTATTTGACATTGATAAGGTATCGGTAGCTGTCCTTTTTTTTTTCAGTGATGGTATTAAAAAGTGTGTGCAGGAAATGATGACGCAACTTGTTGTTAAAGAATGAGTTTCTATGTGTTGTTCCATACAACAATTTTGACTCAATTGATATGTTTCTTTTATATTATTGCGTTGAGAGGTTATACGTAGAGTATTTGAAGGTGATTACTTTTTATGTTTTTGTGAGAAGATGGATGGATTATGGGTATGGTATTTTGGCATTGTTCAGCTTATCTGAAACAAATGAATATGGTATTGTGAAAATCAAATGTATGGTGTATGGAATTAACAGACCGAACTTTTGTCAACAAGAGCTCATTCGTGTTCGTCAAGAACTCGTTCATTTGTTAATCGAGTAGGCTCGTCTAATTATCGAATGACCACAATCTTGTT